CCCTTCTCGAGGTAGAAGGCCTTCTCGCCGGCCGTGAAGACGAACGTGTTGCCGCAGTCCTTGCACTCGATGTTCTCGTCGCCGGCCTCGTCGGCTTCCTCTTCCTCGACCTGCTCCTCTTCCTCGGCAGCGACCTCTTCCTCGGCCTCTTCCTCAGCTTCTTCCTCCGACTCGGACGACTCGACCTTATGCTTCTTGGCCATCTTGGCGGCGTCGTCGCCTGTGCGCTTGGTCGTCTTGTTGGTATCGCTGTTATTGGCCATCGTACAAGTGAAAATGATCTTGGACATGCGAGGAGATTCGCGTTGGATTTTTCGTTGGTTCCGGCGCCTTGCGCGATCTCCCGTACCGCGAATCCAACGGGACCATTCAAAACCTGATAGAAATACGCACAGCACTGCGACAAGCTGCAGCAGTTGAGCTCACGGCATGCCAATCGTACCTCGAGCAGCGATGAGGTAATTCCAGGCAACTACAGTATTCACGACGGTACGTGCAGTCTGGCTTCAATGGGTCTCCGTGCGCTGCGGTCTGTGGGACAACGGACGAGGTTGCGGACTATATATACTGTATTCAATCATTAATATCATCATTTATACCAACAAGACAGCGTTAATGCAGCCGTCGTTCTCCGGGTTGTTGGTGACTTGGGCGTACTTGCCCCAGACGACCTTGCCCGACGTTGTGACGAGGCCGAGCTCGCTCACGTTTACTTCGATGATCGTACCCTTGGTCATCACGCCGAGCTGCGTGTACAGCGGCGAGTTGGGGTTCTTCTTGACGCCAAGAATGTCAAGCTGGAACGTCGTCTTGAGCTCCGGGTGCGTGACGTGGGCCTTCTTGAAGCGCATGGCCGCGGGGCGGATGAAGCGCTCGTATTTCGGCGGCTTGCGCGTAAAGTTTTCGCCGACAAACGTCGCCTTGGTGATCATACGCTTCCACGCCTTGTTGCGGCGCTTGCCCGAGCGGAGCACCTTGAACATCTCGTCATCGGCAATCGGCTTGACCTTGGGGATCGGCACGTCCCACTTGCCAGCCTTCTCCTTTCGCTTCTGCTTGACCGTGTTGGAGAGCACCTTGGCGCGCGAGACACCTTCGCGATCAAGGAGGTACGCGGGCACGGCGCCGTCCGGGATGTTGTCGTCGTTCGCGTGCTTGTTGGTGCGTTCGTTGTGCATCGCGATTGTCTTCTTCATGGCCGCCTTCTCCTTGAAGCGCTTCTGGTTGTAGAGCTTGGCGCGGAGACCATGCACCTTTTGCGCAAACTGCGAGCGGCGATGCACCTCGCGGGCCTCGCGCTTGCGCGTGCGCTCGACCATGTCCATGCGCACGCCATGGCGCTTCTTGTGCATCTCCATGTGCTCATGCTGCGGCATCTTGCTGCTTCAGCGCCGACGCGGAATCCGAAAATGAACACCCATAGAGAGTAGCGAATGAATGGCCAAGCCTCCGCGCACCAATAAAAGTGAGTCATACACTATTTTCTTTTGACACGCTTTGGTCTCTTTAGTGTGCGTCCAAAGCCGGTTGTACTTGCAAAATGTGTTGAGCGATGCATGAGCGGTGGGCGTGAAATAGTGTAAAACAGACGACGTCCCTGCAGAGAGCGCGCCACGGCTCGTGCAAGCGTGAGCATGGGCAACGAGCGACTGCGACGAGAGGACAGCGCTCGCAGAAGCGCATGGAAGGTGCAGTGGAGACGTTAGAGTATAGCGTCGACGTTGCCTAACCGTAACCGATAACGGTCCATTTGGGAGAAAGGTTAGATCTCGTCGGCCAGCCCCACGCGAGCGGTCTCATGCCCGTGGTGCGTTCTGTACGTCAAGCCAACGGGCTCTTGAAGCACTAACTACGTACGCAGTGCTCTGCCATGGTGCTGTACGTAGAACGAGGTTGTTTATGCGCTGTGTACGTATGCGAGGTTGGTCGCGCGATCCAACTCAATTCGAGCAATTGAGTTATAGGACGGTGCTGTGTGCCACCTGTTTTACGCGCCTTCTCTGTGTTTGGAGCTGGTGCCGTTGGCGGCTTCGCTCAATTCAGGTCGCTCAATTCAGATTCAATCGTATCCGGCGACGTGTTTATCGAAACGTGTCGTAAACGAGCCAAAGCGGTTGAAGAAGGCCCGGGTCCTTCATATCCAAATCTCGCACCCATGGCGCTCATGACGCTTGCCGAAGCCAAGGACAACGCTGTGTCCCTTGTGTGGTTCAGCAGCCTCCTCCTCCTCTCGCGCGCGGCCTACGGTGCGTGCGATCATGGCTTCTCTATCGGAAGCTCACCGCTGCGTGGCAGACTCGAGCTACATGCGCGAGTGGGCTGCTACGTACGGCGACGGCGTCGTCAACGTCGTCTTGGGCTCCGCAGCGTTTGTTGCCTTCTGGCTCTTCTCGGCCATCATGATGGTCATTGACGCGACGCAGCCGGGTACGACGACTCTTGTCTTGTTCGCTGGCAACTACTATGTGGCATGCGTGCATATGTAGCGTGGGCGCAGCGCTACAAGATCCAGCCCGTACGGAGCATGGTTAGCGTGGACATTGCTTACACTCTGCGTAGGACAAGCACGTGACGGGCGAGCAGACGTGGAAGGGCTTCAAGATTGCCGTGCGCAACCAGTTTCTCGTGTCGCTGCCCATGTCGTACGTGTGGTTCAACTACGTGCTGCCGGCGCGTGGCGTCTCGCCGAGCGACCCGATCCCGCCTCTGTAGGCTCGCCGGTCTTGGCGAGGTGCTCACATGTGTATGCTGTAGGTCGACGGTCGTCCGCGACTTGGCCGTGTTTCTCGTGTTTGAGGAGATTATGTTTTACTACTCGCACCGCCTCTTGCACACCAAGCCGTTTTACGCCAAGTTCCACAAGCTCCACCACGAGTTTACGGCGCCGATCGGAGTCGTCTCGATCTACTGCACGATTCTCGAGATGGTCGTGTCCAACATCTTGCCGCTCATGACAGGTAGTGCACGCTAGTACGTCTCTAACCATCCCAGCTCACGCGCGTAGGACCGACGATCATGGGCAGCCACATTACGACCATTGCGCCGTGGTTCACCTTTGCCGTGATCAACACGATCAACACGCACTGCGGCTACGACTTTCCCGGTCTCAACTCGCCCTCCAGCACGACTGGCACCACGAGATCTTCAACGAGTGCTTTGGGTACGAGGCTGGATGCGCAACACGCCTGGATGGTGTCTTTAGGGTGCTCGGCGTGCTCGACACACTCCACAAGACCAACACCCGCTTCCTTGGCAAGCTGAACCTCATCGCGTCCAAGGCCAAGAAGGCGTAATCTCAGAATAAGCGCGAGAAGGCTGGCTCGAAAGCACCGACTCAGCACCGCCGATCTCGTCGTTCTAAAATGTGATCGAGCATGACGTTAATGTTGTTTGGGCTGTCGTTGTTGGACCCCGTTGCCAGCCACCGAGCCATCGTGATGATGACTCTGGTGCCAAATGTGTGCGTCAACATGGCTATCGCGATGGCACCCAAGGAAGGGGATCGGCACGACAGTGACATCCAGCCGCAACGACACACAAATCTGGGCTGCGGAGGGCCCGCACGCAATGCAACCACGCCATCCTAGCGGTGGGTCTGCAGGAGCATGCATCTTGCCTCGTCTGCCGCTCCCTCGCTTGTATTTTGGCGGTGATTTGTACGTTAGTTGACTGGGAACAAACGTCCCAGTACGATGTTGCAGTTGCACGGATGAACGTCGAACCTCGTGGCAAGCTCTCAAGCTGGCAAGCGCTCACGCCTGTCTAATCCTATACTCTCGCAGAGTGTATATGGATCTTCTGACTGTAAGCTTGGTATTGACCTCTAACATCGGATACACGGGGACGATCGATTCGATTGGAGTGGTATACTTTAGTCGAGTGTATTTTGTCCGAGCCTTTTTCAAGGCCACCCCCTTTTCGGCAAAGCCCTTATTTTAGGGCATATCTGGCTGCGTCTGGCAGCCTCAGAGTTATTAGCCTCACGCAGCAAGAAGATGTCCCGGAGATACGATGGCCGCACGACGACCTTCTCGCCCGAAGGCCGTCTCTTCCAGGTCGAGTACGCCATGGAGGCGATCAACAACGCGGGCTCTGCGGTCGGTATCCTGGCCAAGGATGGCATTGTGATCGCGGGTACGGTCATGGCCGTGCAGAGGATCGCGGCCCTCATCATGGCCACGTGTAGCGGAGAAGAAGACCGTCTCGGCCCTGCTGGCGCCCGTCAAGAGCAGTGAGAAGACGATGAAGCTCGACGACCACATCATCTGCGCCGTGGCAGGTGCGTCCTTTGCTGCAACCGCCGCTCGTAGGCTCATCGCCAACCTGTGTAGGCTTGACGTCGGATGCCAACATTTTGGTCAACTACGCCCGCGTGTCGGCCCAGCGCTACGAGCTCTCGTACCAGGAGAAGCAGCCGTGCGAGCAATTGGTCCAGACCATCTGCAACTACAAGCAGGCGTACACGCAGTTTGGTGGCCAGCGCCCCTTTGGCGTCTCCTTCCTCTATGCTGGCTGGGACCGCCACTTTGGCTTCCAATTGTATCACAGTGACCCGAGCGGCAACTATGGGGGCTGGAAGGCGACGGCGATTGGTGCCAACAACCGCGCCGCCAAGAGCATGTTGAAGAACGACTACAAGGAAGATATGACGATCGAAGAGGCGCTCAAGTTCTCGGTCAAGGTCATGGGCAAGACCATGGACACGACGACGCCGACGGCCGAGAAGCTCGAGTTCTCGACGCTGACGCGGTCGGCCAACGGCAAGCTGGTTCACCGTCTCTTGTCGGCCGCGGAAACGGAGCAGTTGCTCAAGGAAGCGGACCTCCAGGCGGCGGAGTCGGGCGACATGTAAGCACTCAGTGTGCAGTGCTGCGCAGCGCCACGGTTTCTAGCGCAGCGCTTTGCCTTTGTTGAGCCCATTGATAATACATTCGATTCCGTCCATGTGCGATACTTGCCATTCAATTTACGACTACTACGAGGCACTGGCAGCTGGGGCACTGGTAGCAGGGGCACTGGTAGCAGGGGCACTGGTAAAGGGCAGGTTGATCTTGGCTGCCTGCGTGTCGAACTGCTTTTCAATGTTGGCGCTGCTGCACTTGGAAAAGTCAAAGCCGCATATCCACGACGACACGAGCCACATGAGGATCGCGACAAGGAAGATTAGCATGAGCGTTGCCTTGAGGTTCTTGAGCCAAAAGAGTCGATGCAACGCTTTGACCTCGCCCTCGTACGCAAGCGCGTCTTGCTGGAGCTTCTCTGTCTTGCTCACGAGGACCTCGAGCTTGTCGCCGCGCGCCATGATCTGTCGCGGCTCGTCCCATGCCTCCTCGACACTGTGCATGTGGTGGTACCTGGTGCAGATTGTCGAGCATTTGATTCTTGACGTGCTTGACTTGGTCGCGCACCTACCGTGAATGCGATCCTCTCGTCGTCAAATAGCAAGGCCATGCGTCTACCTGAGTGAGCTTGGTATCGATCTTGACGTTGTCATACTTGGTCATGAGCCCTTTCAAGTGCGACTCAAAGCCCTTCATCGCGTACGCGTTGGCGGTCTTGCCCTTGTTGCCATACGTGGATAAGAACTCGTGCTTGATTTCCGTCAAAAGCGCATACGCGACGCTGCTCTGGAAGCGCTCGTCGCACATGCAGACGTAAATGAGGCTCTCGCTGAGGTAGTAGTAGAAGACATGGCCGTCGACCGCGACCGAGTTGCGCGTCTCGGGCGGGTACTTGTGGTCGTCGACGTCCCGAAGGATCGCCCGCGAGTACGTGATAAAGTTGCCCGTCCCTTCCGTGCACTCGGCCAAGACGTTCTGGGCCCGCGCCACGAGCGCATAGATCACAGGCATCGCGGCCTTTCCCGGAAGCTGACGCGATCTTTCACCTGGGTTCGCTGGCTCGCATCCGGATCCGGATAATAACCGGTCCGGCACCGTCGCTACCAAGACCGGAAGAGACCGGACCGCATTCCGAGCCGATGCACGCCGAAGGCCCACGCCTTGTGGGCCGCCTTCCGACAGCGCGCGGCGATGTATTTTGATCGCCAATGGGCGTGCAAGGGTCGCAATGCGTCGTTGGCATTCTGTAGCATCTTGTCCGCGCTTCTGGTAGCTACTGGATGCAGTAGCGAGCCAAGGGATCTGGAACCAAGCCAAGAACTCGCGGCCAGCGCCAAACTTGCGCCGAGTCCAAGAGGAAGGAGGGTTCCATGCGACGACGTAAAATGAAACACACTCTTGCAAGCGGTTCTTGGTCCTAGAAACGCGGCGGAAGGCCTTCTATCGATGCTATATTAAGCGCGTGGGGACGACGGGGAGCTTCGGAGTAGCGGGAGCCGGCGGTTCGGACCGCGGTCCCGGTCCCGTTGATGCAAAGAGGAAGCTGTCAGTTTTTTGTGTTGGTCGACCGTGTGCTGTGATTGGATGCGATGTCTGTATTTCAGCCAATGAGATGGCGGCACTTTCCCCACCACTAATGAAGTCATATTCGGGGCCCCGCACTTTTCTTTGAGGTGCAGTCAGAGTCAACAACCATCTCTACGATGCTGTCCAAGAGCGTGCAACGTCTTTCGCGCGGCTTCTCCTCCAAGTCGTTCCCGGCCTACGTGCTCAACGCCCCGGCGACCGAGGTGACCACGCTCGCCAACGGCCTCCGCGTCGCCTCCGAGGGCGGCCACGGCGAGACGGCCACGGTCGGCGTCTGGATCGGCGCCGGCTCGCGCTACGAGACCGAGGCCAACAACGGCGCGGCCCACTTCTTGGAGCACATGGCCTTCAAGGGCACGGCCAAGCGCACGCAGCAGCAGCTCGAGATGGAAATCGAAAACATGGGCGGCCACCTCAACGCGTACACGAGCCGCGAGCAGACGGTCTACTACGCCAAGGTGTTCAAGAAGGACGTGCCGCAGGCGCTCGATATCTTGAGCGACATCTTGCAGAACTCGAAGCTCGACGAAGCGGCCATTGAGCGTGAACGCGACGTCATCTTGCGCGAGATGGAGGAAGTCAACAAGCAGCAGGAAGAAGTCATCTTTGACCGCCTGCACGAGACGGCCTTTATGGGCAACGGTCTTGGCCGCACGATCCTCGGCTCGGAAGAAAACGTCCGCAGCTTGAGCAAGGGCGACTTGCAGGACTACATTGCCACGCACTACACGGCGCCCCGCATGGTCGTCGCCGGTGCCGGCGCCGTCGACCACTCGCAGCTCGTCGACCTTGCCCAGAACTGCTTTGGCAACCTCCCGACGGAGCCCCGCGTCGCCCCGACGTTGGAGACGCCCCGCTTTGTCGGCTCGGACATCCGTCTTCGCGTACGACACTTGCTCCCATGACGATGGACAGTACTTATCATGACGCATATGTAGGACGATGACATGTCGTTGGCCCACGTCGCCATCGGTTTCGAGGGCTATGGCTGGACCTCGGAGCACTCGTTCCCGCTCCTCGTCATGCAGACGTTGCTTGGCAGCTGGGACCGCACCTCGAGCGCTGGCATGAACATGTCGTCCAAGCTGGGCCAGGTCGTGGCCGAGCAGGAGTTGGCTCATTCGTTCATGTCGTTCAACACGTGCTACCAGGACACGGGTCTCTTTGGCGTGTACGCTGTCGGCGACAAGTACAAGCTCAACGACTTGACGTGGTACATCATGGAAGCCATGGTCCGCCTCGTGCACAAGACGTCGGACGAAGAGGTTGAGCGCGCCAAGACGCAGCTCAAGGCGTCGATCTTGATGCAGCTCGACGGCTCGTCGCCGGTCTGCGAAGACATTGGTCGCCAGCTCTTGGTCTACGGCCGCCGCTTGACGCCCGCCGAGATCTTTGCGCGCATCGACGCGGTCGACGCCGCCGCCGTCCGCGCCACGGCCGACCAGGTCATCAACGACAAGGAGCACGCCCTTGCCGCCGTCGGTCCCATCCACGAGTTGCCCGACTACAACTTCATCCGCCGCCGCTCGTACTGGTTGTCGCGTTAAATAGAGAACTCTAGACTCAATCGAAAGCGACGTTTGTTGTACATGTCACCTCAAATCGACTCGAACGTGGTCCTTGTTGTTATAGCATGTCGCCTCGTAACCAGCGCGGCCGCAGCCACGAGCTCACGCCACTGCGGCGGTTGTAGTAGTAGGGTGCGCTCGAGTCGGCGTCGATACACGTCTCGTACACGTCGCGCGCCGCTGCGGCCGCGGCTGCCCACGCGACGTGGCATCGGTACAGCCCTTGAATGCGCATGGCCGCAGCGTCGTGGCGCCGAGGCGTGGCCAACGCACGCAGCGCGTCTGCGCCGCCGATTGGGACCAACTCGGAGGCCCCGAGGCCTTTGGGCTTTGTCCATTGACTCTGGCCCGTCGCCGTGTTGTAGTAGAAGTACGTCTGCGAGTCGGCGTCGAGGTGCCGCTGGTACGTGGCGGCAATCATGGTACGCAGACGGGTTCGCGCCACGCGCGTGCGGTACAGGCTCTGGAGCTTGGTCGCCGCTGCATCGCGCCGGCGCGGTGTCGGCAGACGTGCCAGAGCCGTGGGTGATGATGATGCGTCGACCAGTAGTCGAGGTTTCGACCACGAGCTCGCGCCCGTCTTTTGGTTGTAGTAAAAGTACTGGTGCGAGTCGCTGTCGTAGCACTTGCGAATGGCCGCAGCGAGGAGCTGCCGGAGGCCATCGCGGGCGCGCTTGGTGCGGTAGCGCGCCTGGATGGCCGTTGCCGCGACGACCCGTCGGC